TGTATCGCCACATCAGACAAAAGCATGACAAGGAGCCAACTGCTGTTTATCCCAATGCGTGTACTTTCTGCCTTAAAACTTTTAAATTTAAATATTTATTAACTCGTCATGTGAGCCAAGTTCATAATAATATCCCTACCTCTTCACCTGCACAATCTTCTCCGTTATCTCACCATTATCTCACCGAAGACTCCACTAAAATAAACATAAAGTATCCTTCTTTACCCAGCTCATATACTACTTCATGTTTGCCATCACCTAACAATTTACTTTCACCCTCAAGTTCTCTCACAAAGTTCAATTCTATACCCACATCAGATCCTCTTCACAAACGCCCCCACACCACTTGCACTTCCTCTACTAAAGTTCAAATTTACAGGCCTCCGATTCCCAGTTCCCCAATCAGTTCTAAGGAAAATGTTATAGGTATGTAGTGCTTTTATATATGTACATTCATTTTATTTATTATTGTGTTACATATAAATCATTTTTGTAGGTACACAATCAACAAAAGAGAAACTAAGATATCCGCTTTCTGCTTGCTCATCTCCTTCCTCTGCTCCTTCCATGTCAGATCGTCTTCACAAACATTCCCACGTAAGTTTATCGCCGCATCCTTGCACTTCCTCCACCAAAGTTCAAATTCACACGCCTCCCATTCCCAGTTCCCCAATCAGTTCTAAGGAAAATTTTAAAGGTATGTAGTGTTTTTATAAATGTACATTCATATTATTCATTGTTGTTACATATAAATCATTTTTGTAGGCTCACCATCAAAAAAAACAAGAATAAGATGTCCACTCGCTCCCTGCTCTTCAGTTTTTTCTAGGTACACAGGTTTATATAATCATATTGAATTCTATCACAAGACTACAATTGATTATGAACAGTTTGTGTTTCAAAACATTCAAGGTTTGAAGTCTACTCTCTCATAATTTATAACCTAATTACCTAATTACCTAATTATCTACATTTTTGACTTCTTTGTAGATTTTGAATTGTGGAAAGCGGACATGGAGCAGAAGGAGTTATCGCATTATGTAAAAGCCAATTCAGGATACAAATCAAAAACTGATAACAAGACAATTTATTTCGATTGCCACAGGTCATATACATATGATCAGAAACCCACTGTACGCTTGTTTACTAAAACGAGCAACAAAACCGGATATGCTTGCCCATCAAGGATTAGTTGTACAATTAATCACAATGGAACAGTTCATGTTGAATTTTGGAAGACACATTTGGGACACACTCAACAAATAAAATTTATTTCATTAGACAAGAGCCTGAAAGAACATATCAAGGGTAAATTTTTATTGACTTGTAGGATTATAAAATTAAATACATTTTTGTTTTATTAATAACTCTACCAATTTGTTATAGATCAAGTTATAGCAGGAGTTTCAGATGACATAATTGTGAACAATATTAGAAATGCAGCAAATGAAGGACATTTACCATTAAGGGCATCAGTAATCACGAAGAAAGATATTCGAAACATAAAATGTAAAACTGTGATACCATACTCTACATACCCAGACAAGACTTAGTGGTTTTATAAGCTTTTTTAGTCCAGGCCCAGGTGTGTCAATCAAATATAAATAATTGATTTGGATTGCATGTTACTTGACATACTTTGTTTGTTCAGCTTTAAATTTAAATTTGGTGTATATGGCAATTTTGCATCAAGAAAAATTGCACAAACTTTCTAATATTTAGAAGCAATTATTAAAAATAACACTGCATTACAAAAATGACACTTTTGTTTTTTCCTTAAATTTTTTTTTTTGCATCTATATTACAAATATATATGTTCCATTTTTTCGCAACAGCTCTTATTTTTGAGTTTATAGATTGAGTTTGATAGATCTGTATAATTATAATGTACTAGCCGGCCCGACAGACTTAGTCCTGTCAAAAAAATTGTAATGTGGCGGTGTTTTGTGCCTACCTTTTTTCTATTCTTTGCAAAAAATTATCCTGAGCAGAACCGTCACCCTGGTAATAATTCGGTGCGAATTAAAATTAATTAAATAAAACACTATAAGCATTTAAAAGTAAGTAATTTTAATAATGTAAATCATAATTCAATAATCAGTTCAATTTTCATTGTAGTGCATTGTGATAAACGATGTTTTTTGTTTGATTACCTGGCGCATAGACAAACAAATCTGATGGTTTTCCAATACGGGAACAAACAACATACAATTTTCCATGTGAGAAACATGGGTTTTCTAAATTAATACTACAAACTCCTAATAATACCATAAACGCACTGGAAACGCATTGGGATGCATGGTGCGAGAACATCTTCTGCTTTATACTATCCTTTGAATATAGTTGGTCGATATTTCGCAACATTATAATTGCCGATCCAACCTTTAATTGAAGATTGTGAGGTGACAATCCTAGAAAATCCAGCGAGTTTGAAAACTCCGGTGGATCGTCTTGGTTAGTTGCCGAATCAACTGATTCGCCTGTAATTTGTTCTTAAATTTTGAAATTGAATTAATTTACATCAATGTTTTTGGCTGCCAATATAGCTTGATTAATAGAAAGATATTTCTATGTTTATATAAATATATTCAAAATTAGATTATCAAAAACTACACAAAATGTCATGACATAGATCATTGTTTTTTTTTACAAATTGCGTTGCCAACTCGATTAAAGTAGAAAAGGGCTGTTTTCAGGGTTTTCCCGGCAATTATTCGTTTTTTTTCTCGCCGTAACAACCATCCTTGGACTTCAACGAACATTTTAAAAAAAGAATTGGCCAAATTGGTCCAGGCGTTGTTGAGTTATGCGCTTACCAACACATTTTGCGATCCATTTTTATATATAAGAAGATAATGAAGTCAATGTCAAAGTGAAAAATGGTAAAATCAGTGTTGAGTAAAAAGAGCCTCTAGTTTAGTGGTCGGGGAACCGGGGTAAAAGTGGAATTTTTGGGGGTAAAAATTATATATTTGCAAAGCACTAAATCAGCTTCAGTAAACCTACTGGGACATTTCCCATAAATATAAAATCGGGTTTATAATGAAACTCTTGTTGACTTATTTGTTTCACTAATTTATTTACTTATAACTTGGATTTATATAACTTAACTTATTTTGCTTTAAATTTATTATTATTTATTTTATTTATTTAACTGGTTTCACGAGTTACGTGGGTACTTTCTTATGTGCTTTCTTATTGACGCTTAAACTTGTACTGAAAATTATACCTAATATTTATGGGTAAATGTTTTTTATTGCCCTGTATGAAGTGAACGGCTTTGTGCTTGTGCATTGTTGCATTTTTTGTACATTGGAGCGCAATTCACTCCACCTACTATAGGAAAGAACATCTGCATTAACAGATCTGTGACATGGATTATATTGTAAATAGTAAGTGTAAATATTTTGAATAAAAATATTCATTGAAATAGATGGTTTTAATTGTGTTTCTTATTATCTATGTCAATCATTGTTAGAAAACGTAATCAGATGTATCTCGTACAAATTCAATCATGTTTCTTAAACTGTCATACATACATACATACATACGAGTTAAGTTTTAATAATCAAATGTTACATGCTACAAGACTCTTGTAGCTATTTTTATGTTCATTTTTTACCTAAACGGTTAGGCTGAAGTACTTATCTTAATTCAGTGGACTATGAATATAAGCCCTACAATAGAGTTAAAACACACTAAGCAAACAAAAACAACCTGAATAACATTTACCTGGGTAAATAAAATAACTAGACCAGCGATTTCCAACCTGTGGGGCGCGGCTCCGCAGAAGGGCGCCATACCGTTCCAGGGAGGGACGCAAAGCTGTTTCAGAAATATTATTTTTAAATGCTGAGTCAGTGTCAAAACCAAATCAGCAAAATAACTACTTCTAAGAGTGTTTGAGCTTGAAATTACTTGTGTGACTGATGAAATAGAAATAAATAAAGATCTTATTATCAGTCATATTACTACAGTTTAAGGAACCAATTTTCGCATTACTTTAAACATATAGATATTTCCAAATACGAATGGATTAGAAATCCATTTAAGATTGAAAAACATGATGATTTTGGTCATTCAACACGAGAGCAGTAAATGATAATTGATTTATCTAGTGATAGTACATTGAAGCAGATGTTTCAGGACGAAAAAAATAAAGGACGATTTTCCCAACAAATGATGCTTTAGAAATTTTATTACCGTTTGTGACATCTTACTTATGTGAAACAGGTTTTTCTGCAGAAGCAGTATTAAAAACAAAGTGCCGATCTCGCTTATAGTGATCGAAAAGAAACTGAGAACAGCGATTTTTACAATAATGCCGCGGTTTGAGAAAATTTGTGCTAAAAACAAGCTCAACCATTGCATTAAATTTTTTAATGTTGTGTTAATTATTATTCTATGATTTGTTTTGAAATTCTATGATTTGTTTAAATTTGAAAAAAAAAATCTTATAATTAATAGTTATGTTTATATGTATATTTTTATAATACTGTGTATTATTTGGCATAATTTCAGTTAAGTATATTTAAATTAAAGTGTTAGAAAAATTAGGAGGGGCGAGCGCAATATTTTTTTCTTTTGAAAGGGGGGCGCAAAGAAGAAAAGGTTGGAAACCGCTGAACTAGACTAAAACACTCTGCGATGTCCTAATTAATAATTTCTAACAAAAATGTACTAGGTTTTGAATAACTATGTTTGGTTCCCTGAAATAAATATTGGTTGTGATTTGTGAAGAGACAATGTATGATCATATAAATGTAAAAGAACTGCTTTCGTAAATAATTATTTTGAATTAGTATATTGTCTAGGAGTGATACCTAATATTTTTTCTAGTTTTGTTTCGAATGTTGGCACAAAGGTTTTTTGTCTTTTAATGTTGGTAGATTATTTTTATTCTCGGTTTTGTTTCGTATGTTGGTATGACATCCATCTTTTCATCATGTTCGCTCGGTTGGTGCGGATGCACCTTTAGCAGAAATTAGCTCCGTGTTTATTTTGAGTCGCTCGTTTTTAACAATTTGACAGTAAACGGATTTGGCATTCAATAGTAAAACGTTGTTTAATATAGTTGTCATTCTCTTGAGATACGAATAAACAAAAGAAATTTGGAATCCTAATACTAATTAAGTCCAATATGTCAGAAGAAGAATATGATTACATGTCTGATAATATATTAACCCAATGGTAAGGGTATTTTCATTGCAATGCCGATCTTTCGCTATACAAGTATTTCGCAAATTACAGTGTCGAAGATGTTAAACCAGGTCTTATACAAAGTAGAGCTAAACAGAGACTCATTGAAATCACAAGAAAACAAGCCGAAGAAAAACTAAAAAATAAACCTTTAAAAGTCGTTGAAGCAGAACGCAGAAATGAGGGCCTCAACAATGCTCTGGATTCCGCTAACAAAGGCTTCTCTTTGTTACAAAAGATGGGTTACAAGCCGGGTCAAGGAATTGGCAAAGATAAAACAGGACAAGTAGAACCTGTTGAAATTAATTTAAAATCTAATAGAGAAGGATTGGGGCGTAAAAGTTATAATAGACCTCTAAAGAGTTCATCAGAAGTTACTAAATTGTCTCAAGAATCTGTTTTGGATTATCGGCGACAGAAATCTAAAAATGCTGAGAATAAACGAGATTTGATAGATTTATTGAGATGCCAGAAAGCTTGTCATAGCTTAGATAGCTCAAAAGTAAGTATAATTTATTGTAAAAAAGAAATTGCACAAATATTTAGATAATGAGTTTTTATTAGCAATTATTAATCTTTCTATGCTTCAAAATTTGCTTAGTTTTGTGCCTTTAGTTTAAATCTGCATTAATAGAAATTCAAAAAAATAGTTCGTTTTTCATATTTTCAAAAATCTAGATTATTTTCAGAGATACAACTCTTTCACCATTTTATTCCTCTTCTGTTTTCTTCCTTTTGTGAAACTTTGTATGGGTTTTTCTCAAAACTAGCTTTTTTAAATATGATGCCCACAATTTCTTGAGTTTTACTGGACCGATTTACTTGAAATTTTTGGAGAATGTTCTTTATTGACTTATCTATGGCATATACTGGCCTAATCTCCAAATTTTAATTTATACTATTTAAAAAAAAATGAGAAACTCAAAAATCATCAAGGTCACCATTTTGTTAAAAATATATATTTTAACTGTAGTATATACCATAGCGACATCATTCTATATTAATAATCTTTTATTTTTCTTTTCGGATTACTAGGATAATAATTGTGGGCACAGTCACATGTCAGCTTTTTAGGACCCTTCACTTCAATCACTTCTAATTTTTTAAAATTAACTTTTTTTGTTTTAATTTTTTTCTGTACTCTCACAAAATCTTAATCGCTATTGAATGTTTGTTTTTGTACAAGAAGATATCATTCTCTAATACTATTCTTGTAGGTGATATTTCATTTTCTTTAATTTGAGTATAAATCATTCAATATAAATTTTTGAATACTGGATATTCCAGTTTTATGAAAAAAAAATTATATACTTCCAAAGAATAATTCATTTCGAAATCACATGATTAAAGTTTGTTGTTTTTTTTAAACTTATATCCTTGAACAAAATTTACAACTTAAACCATTTTAACTATTTATTATTAAGATTTTTGAAATATTGATAAAATTATAGGATATAGAAATGCCAAAGGAAAAGTGGTATTGGCCACGGGTTGAAATCAAAAGGCTTGAACTGCCTAAGGAAGAATCAGATGATGAAACATCAGGAAGTGACTCTGAAGAAGAACAAGAAAAATTAGAAGCAGAGGTTAGTATCTGAAGTACTTTAAGAATCCATATAATTATAATACTTTTCACAACTATTATATACATTTTTGCCGACATTTTGATGTTAATCTAATACCATCAATTTGAAATCTAGACACCTAATCCATAAAAAGTCCAAAACATACCCACACCATTTTTTAAACCTAAGTAATAGATGCAGCATTCTTGATGGAAGTTAACATTTGCTTTACTTTTATTTAAATATTATTTTTTATAGACTTATTTATCATCATCATATGTTTCCAAAACAATTACATTATGAAAATCAACTCCGGATCTTATGTTAAAACAATTGTTTCTGTCACCTCATATGACATTCTCTTGAATTATTAAAATTTCATTGATATGGACTTGTATAATATATTTATAGAATATACTAAAAATAAATTGGTTTGAGTTTGTTGTGTCATAAGTTTTAAATTATAGGCATCATTGCGTTTAGAAGAGCTGACCAAATACTTGCGAAATACTCATAACTACTGTCATTGGTGTGGAACTAGTTTTGATGATGAGAAAGATTTAAAAGAGTCTTGTCCTGGAGCAACACGTGATGATCATTAAATTTTGAACTAATTTTGGATTGATTAGTTGTCCACTGATTGCCAATTTAGTTGGTATTGTTTTACTTTACTTTTAACAACTTTTTTATTAGTTTCACTGAATCAAATTATAGTAAACAAAAAACATTGTGATTAAGTTGACAAGATAAAATATGAGGGATGAGTGTATTATTTAACTAATAAATGTAATATTTATCAAAGCTCCTTATTTTTGCAGCATATATGGTTTTTAACAAAAGTGTATTACATATTTACAGATTTGTGCTTTATATTAATAATCATGATGCGTAACAAAAGCTTTTAAAAAATACTTAAGTTATACCATTACGAAAACGATCCCAAAACCTATATTACTGATTGCAGCAGAATTGTCAACTATCGAATAACAAAATGAGTTTTACACTTGAATAACGTATGTAATTCTAAAAATTTAGCTTAAGTCATCTATAAATGATAGATGCGCTTATATAGTTTCCAACCTATTTAATGCACGGTAATAAATATTAATGATCAAAGTGCAATAATTTATTTCGATTTTTTACTTTTTCTTTAGTGACTAATTTAAAAAATGCTTTTTACTAAGGTAATTGGCCAATATTAGAACATGTAGAGAAAATTGCTTCGGATGTATTGAAAAGTTACCAAAAAATATTGAATAACAAACAATAAAACACTATTCCATAACAATAAAAACATTAAGTTAATATTCTTCGATTTTTGTAATGAAAATTTGCTTCACCAATTCGATATTGGTGTGATTATCTAAAAAATATAATAAAGCATTGCTTTCAAATTGTTATGGAATATTTTAAGATTGCTGCAAATATCAAACAAGACTATGTTAGAGTGTTATTTTTTAAATGATGTAAAATTATATTTTTTTTTTTATTGATATTTACTGTTTTTGTTACTTAGTAGTCCGGACACCAAGTCAGTAAAATTCAAATTGAAATATAATTTTGATTAAATTAAGTTTTTAATTATTGTCTACTTTTCAAAATGATTATGGGGATTGGGGTATAATATGAAAGACTCTAAAATTTTATTTTTTGCCTCTTAGTAACTTATACAAAACTACTTTGGGGTAATTATTAAAAACAGTTTCCGACAGTTCATATACGTATTATCGTATGTAAAATGCATACATAGATGATTCATGTAAATATATTAACTGATTTTTTTATATGATGCCACCCACGTATATAATTAATTCATAAAACTTTACTCTATTTTAGTCTTAATTTGAATTAATAATATATAACAAATATCACTACTTTAATATTTGTGATCTTAAAAAAAAGTTCAAATGGCGCGCTTTGTGCAGTTTGTTCGTTCTTTAAGTACAAGTAAATTAAATTTTTCGTTTATATATTTTTACAAATTAAGTCGCTTTGTTTTTAAATGCAATGTTTGCATCTATTTCATTTACTTTCATATATTTGGCTGCTGAATAATAAAAAAGGCTAAAATTTGCAATTATATATAAAGATTTAGTGTGGATCAAAACTGGTCGGAAATATAGTTTTATAGAGTCCAAAATTTAAAGCATATATTTTTATGAATCGTTTATTAAATAAAAACATGGCAACACAAATATTTGTCGGAAATATAAATTAATGTAAAGAGATTACTTAAATCAATTTGTTTAAGACATGCTTTTTATGCCTAATACACTTAATTTCCAACATTTAGGAAACGCCAGGCTGTTGCATAAAGCCGCTTTTCCAAAATTACTATTTTGGAATACAAACAAAAAATATGGAAACAGTATCGGGAAAATATTGATTTTTTTGTATGTTTTACCCATTTTTGTATATTATCTTGTAACTCTTTAAAAACATTATATTATCATTTGAGTAATATTTTTTTTCATAAAACAAGGAGCCCCAGTTCGGTGAGGTTGGAAGCCACTGGTTCAGGACACACTTAACGAACAGTTTTAGAATCCTTACGACGAGAGAGGCAAAAAGGATAAAACAGGACGAAAAACGCCGGCTGTATGAAAGTCCCTGTGAGTGTACTGTGGCCTTTATTAGTCGAGCGATTTAAGCGTATGTATAAAACATATTTATTTAATCTTCAAAATATTTCTTGATTGTTCATCAGAACTATTTTTCTATATGATTTAAAACAATGCATCTAATACTTACAAAAATATTTTCTAAGTTTTTATCTTAACTTTTTGGGAATATAATAACACTTGTAAATTTATACTAGAATTTATGTTATATAATTCCAGAAAGTGTTTTGAACAATATATAATTTTGAATTTTTGAATAATCTCTGACATATTATTCTAATATTCAATTACTTTTTATATTTAAACCACTTGTCATAAATTCATAATATTGTAGGATTGTCGTTTATACCATGCACTCCATCACCATACAAAGTTTCATTAATATTGTAAACAAAAAAAATACAGTTAATTACAAAGAAAGGGATTGGCCGATCTTTACTAAAAATTAATCAGAATTATTCCAACAGATTTTTCCGAGGCAGTTTTTAAATTTTCAATATCTGTTCAGGATTTTTGGCTATTAGATTTTTTTTTCGCAAAAAACTAATCGGCGCGAGTACTTATTTAGCTTTATGAATGACTCTTAAAATAAGCACACATACAAAGTGTTTCCAATGTTGGTGGCAAACGATTTTGAATGTTTTGACATATCAAAAAAAATAATAATTAGCAAACCGGATTTTCTGCCCAAATATAAACTGTTAAAAAGGGATATAAAATGTTATAAAAATTTCGTTATAACCATTTAACTCGAATTGACGAAAATACTCGTCATGGAGAAATGGCAGAATTTTGTGTATTGACGAGCATACTCGTATACGATTAGATTGTATTTAAAAAAAAGAAAAACAAAACATATTCTAAAATTTCAAGATATTAAGAGTATTTTCAAGGCATGTCGGTATAAAATAAAACGTTAAAGGCAAAGTGGCATTTTACTTTAAAACAAAATTTTAGCTTGTGTCCGGCGACACAACGCTGTGCGCACCATGGATAAATATACTTTAGAGACCAGTAATTCCAACATTAATTACCTTGCGAGTTGTGTAATTTAATATAATTTCATAATAGTTTATAATATTTATTGACTTTCAAATAAATATATATTTCGTAACAATAATCTAAAACTAAAGTATATTCTTTCAAAAAATGAAATTAAGATGTTTATTTGTTGTTATGAAAAATCAATGATAGTTTTCTAGATCGAGTGGCGAATTTTTTAAACTTCTACAATAACAGCTTTTACAGAAAAAAATCGTCAGGGTGCCAATGATTTCTGGTGATCATAGAAATATTTTGGCTTTTTTATGATAGTAAATTATTTTATGGTTAGTCATTTCAATTATATATGATAGCGCTAATATATCGAAAATTGTTTTAAGGTTCGAAATTTTAACTTTTAAGTGATTGTACAGTTTTCTTTGTTGAGTTCGCGTTTTTCGCTTTTTGTACATTTCCAAAATATTATTTAATTTTATAGCTATAGGTCCAAAGCAAATGCTATGTCTCTTGATTTGAAGCATAAAATTATTGAAAAATATGGGGATGGCGACGGCAAGGATGTTCGATCTTAAAAAACATAGGTCTGTAGTGATGTTTAAATAGAAGAAGTTGATAAAAGGTATAACTTCAGCTAACGACCTTACAATAATTTTTAAATAGTTTTCTGAGATCTAAAAGTTTATGGATAAAAATCACCCCAAAAAAGTTGCCACAGTTCGAGGATCGGAGTTGTTCAACGAAACATGTCTATTCCGCAATATCAAGAATGGACGGGAAAAAACAATAGTTAAATTAACAAATAGTAAATTCATTTTCAATATTCGAAAAACTCAACAAAAACCACAGTGCTGGAACGAATTAATGGCATTTCAATGTATTTACATGGAAAAAATTGCTTTGAGATACGAGCGTAGTTACGAAACAAATTAAGATGTTAGGGGTACTTGGATTTTTAAAAAATCGATTTTTATTTTTTTGCATTTTTATTAAGTGTAATATCTTGACAATGTTGTCTGAAAATTTGAAGTTGATCCGAGTTATTGGACTCTTACCAGCGCGTTGACGTAAGTGAAGAGCTCGATACTTATACTCAAGATTATTCTCCCTCACCTCCTTTTTAACCGATTTAAAGCTTTTAAACCGATTTACGACGATCTCAGCAATTATAATTTATTTTCAAGATGTGTAGTTCAAGATTGAATCCATAATCAGAAGAAATTAAAAGCTTCAACCAACTAGTGTAAAAAATATGCCTAAAAACCGTGAATACTAGTTCTACAATCGTACAAATTGCTGAATACATATACATAATCATTATTATTTATTATGTATACCCTAGGATCTAATTGTTGGGTATAATTCTCATTGGTATGCTGAAAAATTGGATTCTGCACGTGTGAAAGTGGCAGATCAGCGCGCCAACGAAAACACTTCGTAGGCAACAGCAAATGGAAATTTTGGAAACTTGCACAATGACTGATGAACTATTACATGGTCCAGAAATAGATGACTCGGTTTAAGTTATTCAATAATTAGAATTTCTGTACGTAAATCCAATGTGAAACTTTAAACGCGTTTTTCTCAAAACTATGTTTTTTGAACCGGTGACCACTGTAACTCAAAAACCGCTTAGTAAATTTTAATGAAATTTATACAGCTTTTAGAATACATAATAAACTCGGGCCTGATCGAAAGATTTTTATTTTTTCAAAAATTTCAATTTTTTAGGATCAATTAACTGTTGATTTTTTACCCAAAAATCTAGATTTTTTTCTGATGCTGCCATTTTGTTAATTTTTGCAAAAAAAAACCTTCAATCAGGCCCAGGATTATCTATTTATAAAACTATTTTTTTTGTATTTGATTGATTTTAAATGAATCTCTAAGGAGTTATGACGGTCACCGCCAGGACCGTTTTTGAAACAGGGTCAACAAAAACAGCTATAACTTTGGGAATATTAATTTTTTTTTCTGAATTTTTTGTTACTTTAAGTCAAAACATTGTATAATAATGCCGTAATAATATTTTTGTAAAAAAACAAAAAAAAACTAGTTGGTTTGGTATTTAGCCTTGAGGCAAGTTACATGAACTTCCCGATATGTGTAAATAATCGACTTAATCAATAAAAAATAAATTCATTTATGATTGATTAGAAGTATTCCGAGTGGATTTATTACACATAATTGAAAACGAACGAACACTTTGACTCGAATTTTCTGAAAGCAAATTTTCACAAATCAATTATTTCTATAATTGAACCAGTTTCCGTAAGACTTCATGGCTAAGTATGTTCATTAAGACCAAGTACCTACTCTATCGTTATACCAAGTAAATCGTCTAATTTTGATTTTAACATACGTCAGAAAACTACTCATTTTCTCAAACTTTGATTAATTTTTAAAATTAAACTACTTGTCATAAGGCCGTGATATTTCAGTAAGTTTTATAAGACCATGATATATATCACCAAAAAAAGTTCCATAAAAAACCGTATGAATTTTTTTTTCAACAGTTAATTACAAGAGAACGGCTCGGTAGATTTTCACCTAAAACTAATCAGCATTATTCTCAACTAATATTTTTCGAACAGTTTTTGATTTTTTAAAATCGATTCGGTAGTTTGAGCTTAAATGTGGACGTAAAGTTTAACACTTTTTTTCAAATTACAAATAAACGGCTCGGCAGATCGTCTCACAAAACTGACAAATTATAGTCCTCATTGAGATACATTAAATGGCTTTTAAATTTGTGAAATCGGTTCAGGCGTTTTTGAGAAAACGTCGATCAAAGGTTTAATTTTGTTAAATGCCAAAAAAACGATACCATTTTTTTCAAACTTTGACGAATTTTCAAAGTTAGACCAATTGTCGTGGAGCCATAATATTTTAGTATGATCTAGAAGACTATGGTATCTTCCGTCAAAAAAATAATAATAAAAATCGTCGAAAAAATTTTTTTTAACACTTTATTACAAGAAAACGGCCCGGCCGATCACTACCAACAATTCATCAGCACGATTCTCAATCAATATCTTTCGAACGGTTTTTGAATTTTCAAGATCGATTCAGAACTGCGGGCTAAAACGTGGACGAAAATTTTTTCACTTTTTTGCTATTTACAAAGAAACGGCTTGGCTGATCGTCGCGCAAAATTGATAAACGCTAGTCCTCATCGAATGGCTTTTAAATTTTTGAAATCGGTTCAGCTATTTTTGAGAAAACGTCGATTTACGGCAAAAAAAACTGTTCACACACACACACACACACATACTTTTTCCAAATTCGGTCTCATTCGATTCAGAATGGCTTGAAACGTCGAGAAAACATAAAATTAGCGAATCGGATTTTTGATGAAAACATAAACTTCTCCTTCGGGAAGTTAATAATACTGAAAATTCTCATTTGTTTGTGCCTCCAAGTACCCCTAACCCCTTAATCATATATCGGGGGGTACCACTTAATTGAGAAAGTATTTTAACGGAATAAAATAATGCACCCAATATTTTAAAATAAATATGCCATTTCGTTAAATTTCATCCCATAGACAAAAGAAGAGTATATGTTTCATTCATTTTCATCATTCATCGTTAATAAAGTTCCTGAATCGACCCTTTGCGCGACCAGGTCAACAATAGTCGGAGCGGGACGACGCTACAATACCATACAAGACCTTGGGTGCAGCCATAGCGGTTAAAACCGAAAACATAACTATATTCGTTATATATACTTGTGAGAGCGCGCAGCAGTACTTAAAACTATCTTAAAAATACTCGCATTTGGCATTTTAGTTTACTTTAGTTTGCTGGTTAGTGTAGGGTAGTGTCCTGAAAGTGTGTGATTAAAATTCATGTAAACAAAGGATTACGATCAATTCGCTTGTTAAAGGTTAGTGTACACTTTTGTATAGAAAATGGTGGATAATATAGTGTAGAGTAATTACGGGAAGAGCTTTTTTGTTTATGCCATAAGCTCGGCGCGTCTATTACACGATTCTCGTTTCAATCGGGTTAACGATAATGGTAATATTAT